GTCCCGCAATGATCTCTGCTAATTCCCTCAGCACTCTGGGGTGAAGATCATCAGGACCAGCTGATGTGACTTGGATATCCAATCAAACTCTCTCTAACAACAGTCGAGGAGGTGCCAGTGCTTAGAGCAAGGGCGTCACCAGGTAGTCTCGTATTTGTCTCTCTGTCTGAAGACTGGAGTTCACGATGACAAAACAATGCTCCACACATTTGCTCAGAAAAAAAAGATACCGTTGGGGTTGGCTTTCCCTACTCCTTCCTTCCCAATGGTACTACTCCAGAACTGCAGTTCATGTCTGACTCTGGTGTCGAAGTCACCAAGGAGAATAATCTTGTCTTCACTGCAAGTATTAGTCAGAATGTGGTCAAAGTTGAAATGACATCATCATCAGCATCAAGCATTGGGGCATATGCACTAATGACAGCGGTGTACTGATTCTTGCTAAGCTTGAGACAGAGTCATAAGTCATTTAATTAATGCCCACAGGGAGTTCTGTAAATTGACTGATAAGCTGGTTCATGATGTTAAAGCCAATGCCATGAATGCATCTGTCCTAGGCCAGCTTCCCCTTCCAGAAGGTGTAGCTTCTACCCTCTTCCCTCAGCTGGCCCTCATCTTGTCATCTTGTCTTACTCGGAGCTGCAATAGCAATGCTGTATCTCACCAGTTCACTGGAGACAATGTTTCATAGCAAGTAGGGTCAGAAGGGACCTAAGCAGATCATCAAGTCATCAAGTCCGAAGAATGGAAGTTCTTCTTTCTGGTCGTTCATTGTCTTGGTTATCTACCAAGATGTGCATATTCCACATTGTGAAAATCATTGTCTTCTTATAATGTTTCTGACCACAGAGCGAGTGATCCCACTGGATGCAATTATCCAGAAACAGATAAAACAGCCTAGATTTATGGCACGTTTTCTGGCCGCTTCTTCCATTTGTGGGGTGAGCAAAGGGGATTCTGAAAAGGACTGCTCAGTCATGGTAGCAGCTACCAATTTGCACCCCATATCAAAACAGGTGCAAAACGATCATCAGGCTATGGCTGCCTGCATGTAGATTTGTGGCTGGAGACTGCCAGATTCACTTGTCTTGTGTCCGTCACCACTAGTTCATTGCTCAGGGGTTTTGGAGGTCGGTGCAGGAAATCATGTCATTTCCTGTGGTAGAAGCCTACATGTGACTTGGTTTAACATAAGGAAGCTGGTGCACAGAGACAGCAACCATATGATCTTGACAAAGTGGAGAACTACACCCAGTGATAAGGGAAAACTCCAGACAACAGGAAACCTCCATCTTGCTGCAGACTTCTTCTGTCCTTACAGCTGTTGAGATCCTGACATCATTTTCCACCTTAGCCACCACTGAGGACTTGGGGTTGAACCATGGTTTGTCTGGAACCTCCCCTAAGGTCTGTTCACCATGGATGACCCAGTAAGGGCTGTGAAACTCCAGGCAACATAGTTCCAAGGATCACTGGGACACACAAGCCTCTCCACCACTACAAGGTTTTGGTTCTTGGCCAACTGATCAGCATTTCCAGCTGCAGAAGTGCACTGGAGTTCTGAAGGGCTCTGGTTTCGCCATGGCTGGAAGCACCAGTCAGCTGGCTGGTGCTCCTGGCCATGGTGACACTGGGCACCCTTCTTGCTACTTACTAGTGCAGGGAGAGCCCAGGATCCATGATTCCAGGCTCCCCCTGCACTGGCAATAGGGCATGATGGGGAACTGATGCCTGATCCCACAGTTACGCCTCCTGCCATGGTGTGGCATGGCAGTAGGAGTGAGTTGGGATCATGGATAAGATCCCACTGCTCCTTTAATTGAACATCTGTCAGTGGCCTTAGTGGTTACATATTTTGTGACTTATTCCATGTTTTATTGCATCATTAATTGTGTGAATGTGTGGATAGGTTACTACTTAAAATGTGATTAACTAATTTATCACCTCAGATGTGAAACATTTGTCAGGGGCTTTAGCTAAAGGATGGCAATACTAAAAATTTCTGTTGGTGGAGAACGAAAAGAACAAGTAGCAAAAAACACATTTAAGAAAACTTTCAAAAATAAGATTGTAGGAAGAACCTGCTGCTCTGTTCCTGTGAAAATAAAGAATTGAGGTGAGGAAAAAAGCAGCCAGTGACCAAAAAGGGGATAATACAGAGATTGTAATCTCAATAAGGCATGATTTGGTGCATTTCCTTTAAACAAATTAAAATGGAGAATACTTGAATTCTAACTGTAAATGCTCTTCACGTAAGTTTTCTTCCATGCATATCCTTATTGCACTATGGTAATTCTTTATAAAACTGATTAACATGTAACAGGCTGTTTCACTTGCATGATATGAATTACTTAAGAAATATTTAATGTACATTAAGTTCACCATATACACATAAACACACTCTTTACCCCCTGGACAGAATCAGTAACGTGATCTGAACTGATCTGAGCTGAGCTGCAGGACACAGCGGGGCCACATGGGGGATCTCCTTGCTGCTGAGAGTTCCACACTGCCCTAGCAATGCATCCCCTGCACACATGGCAGCAGTGGGGACAGCAGCATGGGGTTGTGCCCCTCACTACTGCTGGGAGGGCAAGGGATGTTTTCACCTTAGCAGCTATGGCAGTACAGCACTCCCTTCCATGCTGGGTCCCATCCACTGGGCAGCAGAGACAGCTCCTGCCTGGAGCTGATCTAGATCAGCTGCAGTCCCACATCCCACTGTAGCCACAAAAATCTTAGTAGAGGAAGGGGTCTCCTTTTAAGTAGAACCTCTGTGACTTTCTCTTTTAAAAGGAGAAAAAATCCGCAATTTTCTGCAGCAAACAGAAAACTCGGATCCGGGTTCATAACCAAGAACAAGCAAGATGCACAGTACCACATTTCCTTGAAAACAAGATGACCCTGAATTTAAGATGATCCCCTCCCCAATAATTAGATTCTATACACAGAACATTTATAAATTATAATTTTCCATGCGTGGAATCTAATTATTGGAGGATCATCTTAAAGCCATCCCCCCACTTCTGCAGGCAGCAGGGGAAGAGGTGATGAGGGGGGCAGTAATGGGGCAGGTGGTAGGGAGCACAGACAATGGGGGACAGGTAGTAAGGCAGCATGTGGTGAGAGCCTGTAAAGGGGAGTAGTAGGGGGCAGGTAGTGAGACAGGTAGCTTGCCCCCTGCTGCCTGCCTTTCCCCACATTGTACCTGGCCCCTCTGCAGCCTCAGGCTACCCCAATTCCCCTTCCCCTGTCCTTCCTTTTCCCCCTCAATGCCACTGCTGTCCCCAAAGCCTAGGGTCCCCATCCCACTTCCTCCTTTCTCCCCCCACCCCACCTTACCTTTGCTCTGTGCCAGCAGGCTCCATCCCTCCTGCAGGATGAGGCATGGGGCACTATGTGTTCCATGTTCCAGGCTGCAGTGAAGACTGAGCCTGCTGGTGCTCAGCAAAGGTAAGCAAGACTGTGGCAGAGGGGCAGAAGTGGTGTTGGTTTGGGGGGAGACTGGGGGCCGCAGGGGAAAAGTGGCTAGGTGTAGAGGCAGCAGGGGGCAGGCAGCAGCTGCAGCTCCAGCCCTAACCCCTGCCCCCTACCCCCTACCACCTTGTGCTCAATTGTAAGGCAAAAGGCTTTCCCCCCACCCATGACGGGAAAAAAACTCATCTTCTAATTGAGTAAATACAACAATTATAAAAGGAATTTTTAAAACTTCAAGGCAGAATATGCCAGTTTTATACAACTCTGCAAAAGTTAGAGCTTTCAAGAGGCTGGATACATTTATTTATTTCTGAAGAAAATAAATCCAGCCCAAGTGTGGTGGCTACTGTCCGTAACTTAGATACACAGGGAAAGCAGTATTTGTATCTGTTTAGCCGTGCTTTCCAACCATCTGTACCTTCTTTACAAATGCAATGCCATTTTATTTAGACATACTCATGTTAACATGCTTAATGAAAGCTAGGTTTGAGCAAACTGCACACACTGAGTATTAAGAAACATAACCAATGCCTTTAACTAGTCAAACATTTAGGCAGCAAAATAAAAAATACCAACCATAGTGCAGTTTGACGATAAATGGATGATTTACTTCTACTAATATATCTCTCTCCATTTTTGTCCGAACTCTATCTCGTACTGGAAAAAATGAGAATAGTGTTAAATAAGTCTTTACTTGATAAAAAAAATTCTGAATGAGACTTTAGCCAACCTGAATTTCTGCATTCTGTCTCATGTGAATGTGTATTGTGTTTTATAACCATACATTTTTTTTCCAACTAGTAATACACTATATCCATACATAATTGACAATGGAGTAACATTGCTTTCAAGTGCCTTAAAAGACAAATAGCTTAGTTTGGCTTAAATTTGTTCAGAAATTTGCTCAAATTCTAAATCACTTAGGTTTAATTATGGGAGACAGCTTCCTTATATTTTTCACAATTTTCTTTTAAGAAATTCATTTGTTCTGATAAAATAAAAGTTAAATAGACTTCCAAAAGACTAATGTGTACAAAAAAATCCAAGGTTACAGTGAATTAATCTGGTAAGGCTTAAAATAATACCTATTAAGGCAAGAACTCAAAATACTTTTTCATGAAAAAAAAAACTTATGTTAAAGAAAGGATTATGACTCCACTAAAAGAATAACTGCTTTTTAGAAATAAATATTCAGAATAGAAATAGTTCTAGTATTGGCTAAAGAAATATAAAAAGATGCTAAAAAAAGTTTCAAGTTTCTTATAAAAAAAGTACATGTACCTTTTAAAGAAGCTTTCTTCAATACTTTCATTGCATAAAGCTGTCCAGCATCAGGGCCCATTATTTTCCTCACAAGGAAAACCTGATAAAAAAAAATCCATATTTCAAGTTATTTCTAAAACTGGTAGACGCAAATACTGATTAAGTTTGACCAGTTTATCTCATCTATTTTAACATGACAAAACCATAACCTCCAAAAGAAGAGAAATGATAGGATGACAGAATAGTCAATAAACTTCCACAATACAGTATCCCGTGGAGAAACCAAAGTCAAAATTCACTACAGAGAAGCACTGAAAACAGGAGTCTTGTTGGTTTGATGCAGGAAGAAATGGTGCCTAGACAGATAGAGCAATACAAACAACTGCATGCCTTCATTCACAGGTAACCACGTTACAGGTACAAGGAACCTCTACGCAAAGGTTCCTGAAACAGGCCGACCTGCTAAGTGATCTAGAGCAAGCAGATCTGCAGCCAATCTATGCAAGGGAGCAGTACACCTCCTTGGCGACTGACATCAGCTTCAAAGAAGAGTGGTTTGAAACCCTCTGGGTCAAACTGCAGGGGAGGGCATAGTGAGAGAGACCTAACTGTAGGTTATACTACAGACCACCAAACCAGGGGGAGGAGCTTGAGCTGGAGTTCTCACAAGAACTGGCAAAGGCCACGCATACATGGGACACAGTCATCATGGGCGACTTCAATTACCCAGACATCTCTTGAGAAGAACACTTGGCTAAGTCAGATTGGCTATGTTCCTTCCTGACCTGTATCAAAGAGCTCTACCTGACTCAGGAGGTACATGGGCCAACCAGAGGTAACGCTCTCCTAGACTTGGTCTTGGCCGAAGGACACAATCTGGTGAGCAACTTGAATCCACAGGGTAGCCTGGGCAACAGCAACCACAAAACCATCATGTTAACTATCCATTGCAAGGCAGGCAAATCAGCTAGCAAGGCTGAAGTTTTGGACTTCAAAAAAGCAAAATTTCAATAGGCTCAGGGCAAAAGTAGGGGAATCGCTGTGGGACCCTAGACGGAAGATGAAAGGAGTGCATGAAGCGTGGTTGTTTCTCAAGGACACAATCCTCCAAGCCCAAAAGAAGTGTATTCCCATGCAAAAGAAAGGTAGCATAAGGGATGTTAAGCCCTTTTGGCTTAATAGGGATATCATGGTCCTCTTGGAAAATAAGGATGAGGCATACAGACTGACTCCAGTTGTCCTTCCTGCCTAGTGCAGGGGGACTGGACCCAACGATTTTGCGAGGTCCTTTCCAGGCTCTCACCATCTATGAAACATCTCCATATTTTTCTGAATATGGAGTCAACTCTTCACCAGAGGTTTTCTTTTCCAATTAAATTGCAATATGCCATCACCAGCTTCTTAACAGTGAAGGTCTTCAGACTATTTCTGGTTTCCCCAAGCTAACCAGTGTTGTTCCACACATACAGTAGTAGTACATGGAACAATATTACAATAATTTATTGCTGTAGATAGAGTGCAGAAAAGACACAAACCCTTCCACCATAATGAAGGAATAAGCTCTTTTAATTCAACTGCTAGTATTAAATTTCACATTATTTTACGAGTGAACTGGCTACGTTTTGTTTTAAGTTTGGGCAAATGGCAAAAATCTTTGGTTCCAAATCTTTTAAATTTACAACTAGCTAAGTTGTCATCATCTGGAGGCCAAGCACACAGGAGCGTGTTTATAGATTCACAGATGCTAGGGTCGGAAGGGACCTCAAAAGATCATTGATTCAGACTCCTTGCCAGTGGCAGAAAAAAGTGCTAGGGTCATGTGACCCCAGCTGGGTGCTTGTCCAGTCTCCTCCTGAAGACCCCCAAGGTAGGGGAGAGCACCCATTCCCTTGGAAACCCATTTGAGATTCTGGCAACCCTAACCATGAAGAAGTTCTTTCTGATATCCAACCTAAACCTACTCTCCATCAACTTGTGGCCATCGCTTCTGGTTATTCCAGTGAGTGCTCTAGTAAACAGAGCATCTCCTATTCTCTGCTGCCCCACCCCCCAGGTGAATTTGTATAGTGCCACAAGATCCGCCCCCTTAGCCTTCCCTTGCAGAGGCAGAAAAGATCCAGGTCCTTCAGCCTTTCCTCATAAGGCCTTCCCTACAGGCCTCTAACTATACAAGTGGCCCTCCTCTGGACCCTCTCAAGGTTGTCCATATCTTCCTTGAATTGCGGCACCTAGAATTGGACGCAATACTCTAGCTACGACCTGGCCAGTGCCACAAAGAGGGAGAGTATCACCTCCCTGGACCTGCTTGTGATGCACCTACTAATGCATGACAAACTGCGATCAGCTCTGCTAACTGCTTCGTCATGCTGATGATGCATATTCATCTTGAAGTCTACAACGACTCTGAGATCTCTTTCTGCCACTGTGCTGCTGAGAAGGTCACCACCCAGGCTATAGGTGTGCTGGTGAGTCCCTCTCCCTAGGTGCAGCACCTTGCACTTGTCCCTGTTGAACTGCATCCTATTGTTCTCTGCCCAAATTTCTAACCTGTCCAGGTCTGCCTGAATTTGGTTTCTTCCCATCAGTGTGTTTTCTTCACCCCATAGTTTGGTGTCATCTGTGAATTGGAACAGAGTGTTTTCCACATCCTCGCCCAGGTAGCTGATGAAGATATTGAACAAAATATTGGACAGTTTATTGACTGTCCATCCCACTTCCTGCACCTAAACCCCATGAGAAGTGGGGAACAGAGCCAGAGGACTGAGCAACTCCTTTGTTACCCTCTAGGTGAAGAGCACACCTGCAGAGATCTTGATGCACCCTTTCAAGAGTGCATGGCAAGGGACTGCACGTGTCCACAGCCAGACTCTAAATTGGATCTTTCTTTCTTTTTTTTTTTTTTTGCATGGCATAGCTTGGCCAAAAGAACTTAAGTTCTGTCAGCAAAACTGTAAATGGATCCCCACTCTCTTAGGGCAACAGAAATCTCTATATCAGCAGTCTCCAACCTTAGGTAGGAGATCACTTTTTTAATTAAAAAGAAACCCAAGATCTATCATGTGCCACCCCCCCTGCCCACACGCCAGTCTGTGGAGAGGTACGGAGGGAGGGGCAGATCAAGGCAGAGGGAGAAAAAATTATTGGGGGGCACCCCCCTATCAGGGAAGTCTGTGGGGGAAGGGGTAGGAAAAGGGCCATGAGAGGAGGTGGGGCAGATCGAGGCCCTAGCCATGAGGGAGGGAGTGGGGCAAGCAGGAGCAGCGGCTGCAGTGAGTAGGGCCCTGGCCAGGCCAGGTGGTGGATCAAGCAGGTGCCCCCCAGGCCTCCACTTGTCCCTCACTCCCCCCAGCCCCTGCTCCTACCAGTGCCCTGCTCCCTCCCTCACCACTGGGGCCTCGATCTGCTCCTACCCCACCGCGGTGAGGGAGGGAGTGGGGCTGGGGCAAGCCTTGCACAGGTGGGGCATGGGACAGAGCTGCGAGCAACTCATCTGACTGGAGGGGACACACAGCCCGGGAGGTCATGGGGGCATGTGACCTTAGATCTGCATGCTGGCTGGGCTGGCTGCCGCTGCGGACTGAGGCCAGGGCAGTGCCAGGCTCTTCCTGGGAGGGGGCTCACCCAAGCTGCGCTGCGCACCAGACAAAAGACACCACTGCCGAGCAATGTCACTGTCCCACTGTTGTTTTATTGTTCTGAGCTGCCAGTCCTGACCTGTGGGCAGCTTGCGTCAGCCACACGGTGCTAGGGACAGAGGTCAGACTGGAATGGGGCAGCTGCCTGGGAGCAGCAGCTCAGGCCAGGCAGCAGCAGTTTTCATAACAGGACTATGGGGGTGCTGCAGGCACCCAAAAATTTGCTGTAGCCCTCCCAATCCCCCTCCCAGCGCCACCGTCCCTGGACAGCTGCCCTGCTCCTGTCCCGCCTCCATCCCCAGCACTACGCAGATGACACAGGCCATCCCCAGCTCTGACCCTGGACCAGCTGCCTGGGCTTCAACCCTTGCCCAGCTTGGGCCCCACTCACCTGGCCCGGCCCTGAGGGCAGGGGGCACGGCTCAGCCCAGCCACATGCATCCCGCTGCTCCCGATCACAGAGCCTCTGACAGTAGATCTCAGTTTGTGCGGGGGCTAGCCAGACTAAGACAGACTGTTAGGGGCTCCGTGATCAACTGGTTGATTGCAATTGACTGATTTGTGACCACTGCTCTACACGTTGGCAGAGTAACACCAGTTCCAAGAGCAACAAATGTTTTGGCACCACCTGGCACCCAGGAGAAGGTATATATGGAATCACCATTTGTCAGCTGTGTTTTCCAGGGTGTACTGTGCACTCTGCTAGAACAGCTGCTGAAACTAAGCTGTACAGCTCCAGCAGGAGCCACACTGGTGCGCAAGCATCTTCTGCTGGCTACTTTCTATCAACAGAAAGCTTGTAGGTAAATCCAGATATGCCCTTGTGGGGTATATAAGAAAAAAGAAAGAAAGAAAAAAGCTGAAGCGGCTACTGTCCGGACCAAATTTTGAATGTATGCTGGTAACACAAGAGTTAAGTTTGATCATGCGCAGACAAGGCCTATGGAAAATTCCAGTGTGCCCAGCATGTGCCCCCTGTGCGACCCTTGGCTTGTCAATCAAAGCTGACCTAGTTTTGTAAGAACACGCATGCTCAGTTCTGCTCAGCAGATGAAGTAATCTGACCAGACGCATGCTCAGTCTACAGACTGCATGACGTAATCAGACTAGAAATTTCTTTAGAGAAGACAACCTGATTGGCTACCCGGTTGTCATAAA